CCCCCCCCCCCCCCCCCCCCGGGGATCAGGCCTTTGTGATATCAGCATCACCTAAGGTTGCAACAAACTGTAAATGCTGGAACTTGAAAGCTGCTGATTTCCTATTACAGATAAGGAAACCGAGTCAGTGGAGGAAAGTAGTTTGTTTCAGGGCCATGTAGCCAAACTCAGAGTCCCAATCCCATTCCTTTGACAACTGAAAGAGTGTTTTTCTTCCCTGCGGAGCTCTGACTAGCTTCTCCCTCCCTCACTTAGGATGCTCCAGACATTGTATGACCACTTCTGGTGGGACCGACTATGGCTGCCTGTGAACCTAACCTGGGCTGATCTAGAAGACAGAGATGGACGTGTCTATGCCAAAGCCTCAGACCTCTACATCACACTTCCCCTGGCCCTGGTCTTTCTCGTCATTCGATACTTCTTTGAGCTGTGAGCATGCCCCACACCTCTGACTGCGGCCAGCCTAGCAGACTTCATGTTGGTCTCTTGAGACTTTGTTCTGGACAGTGGTGCTCTCTGCACCCAGGTCCCTGCTGCCTGCTCGCCCTCCCCCAGGGCACCATTGTCTTCCTGAGGCCTCAGCACCCCTAGCCCTTTCCTTCAATAGCTGGTTGTTCTCACCCCGTGCCCGCCTCCTCTTCGCCTGGTCAATAGTGAACATAGGCAGCTTTGTCAGCTGTGGGCAGCCCAGGAGGCTAGAGGAAAGGGGGTTGCCAGGAAACTTGGGAAACTGAGGCCCAAAGTTAAGATGCCTGAACTTGTGGTACTTTGTCCTCCCCCGTTTAGGGGTTAGGAGTGCTCCAAGGGAGCCAGACACCTCTCTCTCATGTCCCTTCCCCAGTTACGTGGCTACACCTCTGGCTGCCCTCCTGAATGTTAAGGAGAAAACCCGACTACGGGCCCCTCCCAATGCCACCCTAGAGCATTTCTACCGGACCAGCGGCAAGCAGCCCAAGCAGGTACGAGCTGCAGGTGACCCTGGCTGGGAGTTGCTGAGTTTGGGTGGGCCAGAGTTTGAATGCTAGCTCTGGAAGGCGAGGACTTGGTGGGTTGTTCCCGGGTGAGGTTGGGCAGAGTTGCCCATCTGACGGCTGAATGTCATGGCCTCACTATGCTTAGGCGGAGGTAGAGCTTTTGTCTCGGCAGAGTGGGCTCTCTAGCCGCCAGATAGAACGCTGGTTCCGCCGCCGCCGCAACCAGGACAGGCCCAGTCTTCTCAAGAAGTTCCGAGAAGCCAGGTGGGGGAAACTGGGTGGCACAGTTCTGTTGTTTCTGGCTGGGAGGAAAGGGTTGTGGTGTGCAGGAGTAAGGGTACCTTGAGAGGGTGTGTGGGGGCAGTGGAAGCTGCTGATCCTCCTGCCTAGCCAGATGTGCTTCCTCTTGCAGCTGGAGATTCACGTTTTACCTAATTGCCTTTGTTGCTGGCGTGGTTGTCATCATGGATGTGAGTACTGGGATGTGGGACACATCTTCTGTCAAGATGGGGAAAGGCAATAGGATTTGAGATCTTTCTTTAATCTCTTTGCAGAAACCCTGGTTCTATGACTTGAGGAAAGTTTGGGAGGGATACCCCATACAGGTATGAGGAGTGGCCTACAGCACACAACACCCACTATTAAGAGTTTCTTCACACAACAGAGTATCTTGAGGGGCTAGAAGGGGCAAGTTTGGAGGTGAGCCCCTTAGAGCTAGTTGTTCTGGGATCCCTCACCCCTCTTTCCTCTCCCAGAGCATCGTCCCTTCTCAGTATTGGTACTACATGATCGAACTCTCCTTCTACTGGTCCCTGCTCTTCAGCATTGCCTCCGACGTCAAGCGGAAGGTGGGTGAAGAGGCTGTGCAGTTAAGTCCAAGGGCCAGATGAGGCCCTGGAATCAGGACTTCTCAGATCTGGACAGAGCTGCTGGGATACTGGGAACAGAAGTTTGGGTTGTGTGTGTGAACAATGAACAGGGAAGAGTCTCTTGAAGCCTGCATCTTTTCTGCAGGATTTTAAGGAACAGATCATTCACCATGTGGCCACCATCATTCTCCTCAGCTTCTCCTGGTTTGCCAACTACGTCCGAGCAGGGACTCTCGTCTTGGCTTTGCATGACTCCTCTGACTACCTGCTGGAGGTTAGGCTTCCTCACAGTAGAGGTCCCAGTGCAGGCTCGTTTGTTCCTCCAGTCTTCCAGGGGTGGAGAGGGCATTGATATTCCTGGTCCTGAGGTGGGAGGGCACAGCCAGTACTGCTAACCACACACACATAATGTGTACGGGAGAGTCGGGGGCCCATGATGATAGATGGACTATTTACAGTCTGCCAAGATGTTTAACTACGCGGGCTGGAAGAACACCTGCAATAACCTCTTCATTGTCTTCGCCATCGTTTTCATCTTGACGCGGCTGGTCATCATGCCCTTCTGGATCCTACACTGCACACTGGTGTACCCCCTGGAGCTCTACCCTGCCTTCTTTGGCTATTACTTCTTCAATGCCATGATGGCAGTGCTGCAGATGCTGCATATCTTCTGGGCCTACTTCATCCTGCGCATGGCCCACAAGTTCATAACTGGAAAGGTGAGGAAGGCTGCCTCCCCTTTGTAGACCTTGGCACTCTCAACCCCAAACCCTCTAATCTAAACTCTGTTGTGCCAGTAACGCTTCTGAAACAGCGTGAGGTTCTGGGGGCTAGCAGGAAATACATAACCCTTTTTGTCCTTTTCACAGCTGGTAGAAGATGAACGCAGTGACCGAGAAGAAACAGAGAGCTCAGAGGGGGAGGAGGCTGCAGCTGGGGCAGGAGCAAAGAGTCAGCTCCTAGCTAATGGCCACCCCATCCTCAATAACAATCATCCTAAGAATGACTGAACCATTGTCCTAGCTGCCTCCCGCATTAATACACGAAGCCAAGAAACTAGCCAGCCTTCCCTGTAGGGACACCTGAGCTCCGGGGAGAAAGGGCGTAAGGAGAGGAGTCTGCATGACTCTCTTACTCTTTTGTCACCTAACTGTAACCAGCCTATCTCAGGGAGAGAAGGTTGGTCATATCCTATGCTAGAGAAGGGAATGGTCTGACTTCCCTCTGTTTTCCAGGCTACCCTTTCTCATGCTTTCTGAAAACCTTTCTCCACTCTGAGGGTTGGAGTTAAAACTCACATTCCTTATTCTGAAGAATTTGGAGCTGTTTGCCTTTGACTCCCTGACTTTAAGCCAGGGTTGTGCCTTACTGTCCCATCTCTGGGCCTCATTCTGCCAAAGCTGGACCAAGGTTCCACCTTTCTAAGCACCCTAGCTCAAGCCAAAAATGAAAGCTGGGCTACTTTTAACTTTTTCTCCTTTATAACAAGTTAACTAAGTGAAGGAGGGTATACATGCCCCTCACCCTACCCCAGGGACCACAGTTCCAGGATGTCACTGCCTCCTTTCTCTGGCCTTTCTTTTCCCCTCCCTCCAGCTAAGACAAGCTGGCGTGGAGTAGAACGGCAACTAGTTCTCTTATTTATTGAACATTTGGAGTTTCAGTTATAAAGCCAGAACTACAGCTAGGACCTGGCATTATGGCGAGGGACCATTTCAGACCAAAATGTACTGTTAATGGTTTTTTTTAATTAAAGTATATTAAAGGTTAAATAAAACATGACAGTGTGTCAGACTATTAAGAACTGAGAAAGGGGATAGTTTTCTTAGGCCTTCTTTGTGGTTATGTAACTTTTTTTTTCCCCTAAAAATTACACAAGTAAAATGGAGGGGTAAGACAGCTGCCCACTGGGAAAATGACCTCTCCCTGGGGGATTACGATGGGGACTGAGGAGAGAAGATACACAGTCTTCATCACGAAACCACACAGGATAGGGACGGCAGACATACAGCCCATGAGAATCGTGAACACAGGAACATCTGAGAAGGACCTCAGGCTGAGGCTAGAGTGGCCATGTCTACCCACCCTAGTGCCTGCTAGCACCACACTGGGAGAGTCCTGATCCAGAATCCCCATTTCTATCTACTAGGAACTGGAGAGTAGCTAGACCAGAGACCTGGGGTCAGAGTTCAACAGCCAGGAAGACCCTGTCCAAGGGTCTCCCTTTACAGGAGACGCCCTCTGCATTCAATGGCTCCACAGCAGCACAGCAGCTCCTTGCCTTCCACGCTGCCCACTTCGTAGTTGTAGTCCCAAGTAAGTTCTGTTCCAGCCCGGATTCTCCTGAAGAGGGAAAAGGATGGGGATGTGGTAGCATAGGCATTTGGAAGTAGAGTTTAGAAGATACAGGTGAAGCCTGGCCACAAAGGAAGGTGCCCCCCCGCCCAGAATTTCCATGGAATTTACCCCTTCCTCATAATCCCTCTTACTTGCTGGCAAAAAAGGCCACCCAAGGGAAGCGAAGATCATGAGTATCCACGAAGACATTCTGGACAAACAAGTTGGGGCTGCAACTGTGCTGTAGTACAAAGATGACAGTCACTTGACCAAGGAAACTTCTGGCTTTGTGAGAATTACAAGAAAATGGTATCTCTATCCCCACTGCACATAAACAAAAGTGGGTTTGTATAATATCTTTAAAGAATTAGGAAGTTGAGAGCAATGGCATAACAACCTTGCACTTAGAAGTGGCCAAGAGTCTTACATTGAGGTAGCGGCCTAGGTTGCCTTCAAGCTTGGCATCAATGATGTAGCAAGATTCTTCACCATCGTAGAACTGGCGTGTGTTCTTACGAACTGGTGCGCTCTCCCCCTTTTCCACAGAAGCCATGTTGGTTGATTTAATAGCAATCCCATGGGTTGACTTAAGAGCAAAACCTCGGGTTGATTTTACTGCCACCTGGCGCTTTGCTGGACCTGAAAAGCAAAAAAAAAAAAAAAAAAAAAAAAAGGAAAAAGGGTGTGTGAGACCTATACCAACTCATGATCAGACCTACTATCTTTTATTTAACCCAGCCTGTTCAGTTCAGGAATAGCAATATGCTAGGCTAGATCTCAGGCTAAGACCCTAAATCACTAGTCAGATGTGAGTGGTGCACGCCTTCAATCCCGGCACTCAGGAGGCAGAGACAGGCAGATCTCTGAGTTCGAGGCCAGCCTGGTCTACAGAGCTAGTTCCAGGACAGGAACCATACTGAGAAACCCTGTCTGGAAAAACCAAACAACAACAAATGTTCCCGACTTTCCTGCTTCTTCCTACTACTCCCTAAACATTTTCAGGCTACCGGATGAGGTCTTCTTGTCCTCAAAGTCATCGCCTTCAGAGCCAGAAGAAATGGTCTGGATGTCATCACTGTCAACGGCTGTGGCTGAAGTCTGGCCAGCAGTGGGCTTTCGGCTGGTTGCACTTTCCCCCTCGCTTTCTGTGCTGCTAGACAGTGTCAGGATGTCCTGGGGAGACAATGGTGGAGAGGGAAGAAGAGCTACTGGGAAGAAAGGCTGCTTCAAGTTCTTGCTTTTACCTAGGATTTGGCAAAACGGGCTAGGCAACTGCAAGATGATGATGGTTAGATGTTGGAGAACAAGGTAGAAAAGTCAAGACCAGGGACTGGAGAGATGGCTCAGTGGTTAAGAGCACTGCCTGCTCTCCCAAAGGTCTTGAGTTCAATTCCCAGCAACTACGTGTTGGCTCACAACCATCTGTAATGAGGTCTGGTACCCTCTTCTGGCCTGCAGGCATATACACAGACAGAATATTGTATACATAATAAATAAATAAATATTAAAAGTCAAGACCAAAGAATTAAGAAGAGACTTAACTGATAGTTATTCTAGTGAATGACTTGAGGTGAGGCCACTACATGTTCCTTTACTTGGACTAAATAAAAGAGAAGGCACTCACATCAGCGTTTGACTGAGTAGAAGCCACAAGTCGCCGGCTTTGGGGCACAGAAGTTTTACTAGATGGTCGGCGAAGCCCTTCAGACTTCATAGGAAGATTGTGTCCATAATTCTGAGAGCTTTCGGTAACTCTGATGGGAAGGGCAAAGAATGAAAGGGGTCCAGTTACTGGTTGTTTCTTTTGTAAGTGTGAAAGGAGAAGGCAGACTCCGCACAGTCCAAAAGCAAGCACTTACACTGACATCTTGTTCCGGTCATCCGGGTCCTGGGAAGGAACAAGGGAAGGGTTAAATGCTTTCATGGCCCAAGGTAACAAAAGATTTCCAAAGACAACATTAGCACAAGGCAGTAAGAGGCACACTAAAGAGGGGTGCTGTGGGGAAAGCACTCTAACCGAACAGCAATAATCATTCTCATCAGTATACTCCCCTGGCAAGGTCATTTAATCTTTCCCAGTAACATAACACAGGGAACAGTATTGCGAGCACAGTGTTCCATGGACCTAACAGTTTTACTACCTGTAATGGGGAATGTTTCAATATCAAAGATATACTTGTAAAAGCAAATTTCAAGCCAACCTGGATTGTAGTGCAATCCTATCTAAAAACAATAATGAAAAACAAAATGAAACAAACCCTAACTATTTCAGTTATTTATTGCTTTGGGTTTGAGATGGAGTCTTAACCGAGGTGGCTCCCTCACCGCAATCTCCATTTGTACCAAGGTTAAAAGGCACTGCTCTTAACATAGACACATGTTCCCTGACTCTTGCCATGCGACACCTTACACTGTCCTGGGAGTCCTCCAGCTAGGATGGCCATCACAGACGCAGCTTTAAAACTTCAGAACCATGCATTAAAAAGCACAAGTTTTCCTGGGGGGGAGGGGTGGCTGCTCTCAAGAATGTTCAGCCAGCTGAGCAGTGGTGGTGCACATCTATAATCCCAGCACACGGGAGGCAGAGGTAGGCAGATCGAGGCCAGCCTGGTCTACAAGAGCTTGTTTCAGGACAGCTATAACTATTACAGAGAAACCCTGTCCCCAAAAAAAGAAAACAAAGCATGTTCAGTCCTTTTTTACCTCTTTCTTAGTCTGCTTAGTGTCTCCTTCATCCTTGAAGCTCAATCCTGAGGTAGAGGCCTTCTCAGCCTCTCCCCGGCCTCCTCCACCTTCACTAGTCTTGAAGGAGGAACGGCTGTCAGAGTCGGCAAATCCACCTTCACTGACACTATTGCAGCTCAGCCATGAGGCCACCTTGTTCTTGGGAGTCTCCTCAGATGAAGGTGGTTTGCAGCCGCCTACAGATACTGAGGGAGGTATAGGAGCATGTGGAGGTCCAAGGTCTGGGGGACGGGAATCCTTGGAAGCCATCTCAGACAGCCCATTCTCCTTCTGACCCCGGGTCTGTCTTCGGGTAGCATAGCTACGCCACACTGAACTGGTGCTGAAGTCCTCATCCTTACAGAAGTTATCATCAGAGCTGTCGTCATTGGATTCCTCAGGGTCCTCTGAACCACTGTTGCCATCTTCCTGGTCCTTCATGTCCACCCCACTGCTGTCAGAGGAATTGCCGACATCACTCTCATATCCTTCCTTAAAGTTCTCCACACTTTCAATGTGGTCCAGATTTGCAAAGTACTCATCACCCATCTCCAGGCCTTCTTTGTCTGCAAAGTCATCTGTCAGGATTTTGCCTGAGAATGAAGATAATTGAAAGGTTTTTATCAGTGACCCTACCCAGAGGGCAAACCCTGTACTATGTGCTCACTCTGGAGGCCACCCTTGTCTTCACCATGAAAGCAAGGTCACTACAACCTGTCACATTGGCCTTTGACCTTCTATGTTAAAATATCTCTAGGAGAAAACGATACAATGGGATCTAAATGAGGTCTCTCACTGAAGAGACAACAGCAGCCAAAATCTGATTCCCTTTCACTGTTTTTTTGTTTGTTTGTTTGTATTTCAAAACAAGGTTTCTCTGTAGCTTTTGGAGCCTGTCCTGGAACTAGCTTTTGTAGATCAGGTTGGCCTCGAACTCACAGAGGCCTGTCTCTGCCTCCCAAGTGCCGGGATAAAAGGTGTGCGCCACCACTGCCCAGCTCCCTTTCACTGTTTTCATGAAGCACCTTTAACTCTCTCTGGTCTGCCTACATAGGTACATCACCTAGCATGTCTTTACAGGAGAAGCTCCTGTCTCCTCTTACTTTCAGTTAAATGCCAGACCGTCCAGTCCCTCTTCTGTAGCACTAGGACTGAATTCAGTGTCTCCCGCAAACGAAGCACATGCTGTTCTTCAGAGCTCAGTTTCACTGCTCAAACACTATGCTTTTTGTTTGTTTGGTGGGTTTTTGTTTTTTTGAGACAGGGTTTCTCTGGGTAGCCCTGACGGTTCTGGAACTAGCTCTGTAGACCAGGTTGGCCTTGAACACATGGCTCTGTCTCCCAAGTGCCCGGATTATAGGTGTATGCCACCAATGCCCATCAAACACTATTTTTCTAAGGCAGAGTCTGGGTATGTACTTCAGGCTACCTCCAACTCCTAAATTTTCTGCCTTCACCTTCTGAGTACCTAGATTATAGGCACACGCTACCAAGCCCAGTAGCACTTTGCTATGTTCAACTTTGCTTTGAACTATCATGTCCCAAATCCCATGGAGCAATAACCTCCTCTTTCGTTACTAACCTGCATAGATACAGACAAAAGAGCCTTTGGCAATGTCATCCAAGCAGCGGATACCCCAGCCCTTGTTCTGTGTCTTAAATAGCTGTAGTCGAACCTGTAGTCCATGTTGCACCAACCGATTTGTGCACATGTTTGGATC